ACAAATAAAAAGAGATTTGCTAGAGTGGCTCTCAAAGCTTTATTTACATGCACCATCTCTTGAGAAGCTTGCAAACATCACATTTTTGTTCTAGTAGGAGCAAGAGGAGAGGGCGATGACAGTGCGCAAAAATGATTTATGCTTAAAAAAAATGTCAAATTGTCATCTTTCCAAAAAAAAAGTGCTCACTTTTTAAAAAAGCTTAAAAACAGAAGGCGTCACATAAACTGAAATGGGTGGCGCTTGAAAAAGAAAAAAAAAAAGCTACGAACACAATTCATGAAATAAATGGATCCTGGTGGTCTTACAAATACTTTTTAAGATTTTTTTTTCCCCTTAGCTATGCTTCCAACTATCTACAACACTCGATTTCTAGCTATGTATACGCGCAAACGTTTGGCAATATTTTCAAATACTGTGAGTGATGAAATGGCAAGAATGGCTCGGAAGATAATGGCTCCCGTCACAGGGGGGCAGCACCTGCTATAGTGCTGATAACAAGGGTGGGAAAGGGTTGCCCCCCCATGCTATCTTCTCTTTTACAGCACCAAGAAGTCACCAAATAACAGCGGAATGATTCCGCACCGTCTTCTGTAGCCGTTTATCCCATTATTTGGCTATTTACGCGACGCGTGACAAAATAAGGGCAAGCAGCATCGCAGAAGTAAACATTGTCAACGATTCATTTTGTTTAGTTTGGTCTGGAATAAAAATGCGATAGTACAAGAAAAATGGTGTAGATCAACAAGTCAGTCGTGAAAATGCCGTCGTACTGAGGAATGGTGCGACCTCACGGCACAAAGTAAATGACGAAAAATTTGTAAATTAAGGTGGGGAAAAATCTGAAATTAACGTGGGGGAAAAAAAATCTTAATTTTACGAGAATAAATATGAAAACCATGAAAGTTGTACATTTACGAATATTAAGGGGCAACGTTAGAAAATAAAGAGGTGTAAACTCGAGTGAAACAAATTGCCATATTACAAGAACAAACTCATCCTATTGCGGGAATAAAAACGTAAAATAACACAGGATAAGTTTACATAGTAGAACCGAGTTGCGTTAAAAAAAACACAATTTGGAGAAAAAAATATTACAAAAGTAGTCATGTGGGGAAGTTGCCATATCACAAGGAAAAAAGTAGTCAATTCATGTTATGCCATTTGACGAGAGTAGATTTGTTCAAGATGATAGTCACCATTTTCTGGGAATAAAATTTTGGATGTCTGTGAGAAAAGTCACCATTTTAGTGGGATAAAGGTGCGATCTAATGAGGAAGACACGCAAATAAATGTGGAAGGAATCACAATGCTAGTGGAATAAAAAGTGCAATATAACAGGAAAAAAAATACGTCATCAACCAAAATAGTCGTAATCTTATGGCAGTAAAGGTGCATGGAAAAAGTATTAACTTAAACAACCAAGTGAATCTTTCGTGAAATATTTCTGAAAATGCACCCGTGTGCGAGACTTGTGCATTTTTGCCCCACTGTGATGTATCAGTGGGGCGAATGAAGTTACCACCATAGTTACCACCCCACAGAGTTCCTCCACCAGTGACATAATCAGCTAGGCTAAATTCCAGCGCAAAAACACTGAGCCCAAAACGCAGTGTTAGCACAGACTAGCATTAGCTAACAGTTGTTAGCAGCATTCGTTTCTCGCAATGTATTGTTCTGTTGATGTGACGGCATGGGGATATTTGTGTTGGGCCGCGTCATGCGCCAAACCGCTACATGAATTGACAAATGTAATTTGGTGGCTTGGTGGTAAAGACAAAAAAAAAAAAAAAGTCAAGTATTCTCCTTTAATTTTCTTCTCCATGTAAACGGGCTCTTGGCCCTTGTTTGGCAAAAAATGTTGATGTGAGAGAACAAAATCATCTTCCCTGAGATGAACGCAACTTTTGTTCCTGTTTCAGTATGAGAATCGCTCAGGTTCATAGATTTCCCCCGCCCCCCCTCTTTTTAAGAATCCAGTACACCAAACATACGAGGTGTGACAATAAAGAAACAATGTCACTCATGACTCTCTGGTGTTCTGCTCTCGGATTGTGTTAGCTTAATTCCTGTTTGGTTAAAGTGTTCCCGGCAAATTGGCACATCAGAGGCGCTAGTTGTAGAGCCAGCGAATTCACGGGTAGACTTCAACCCCCCCCCACCCCCATACTTGCAGGACAGCGAGCTGAATAAAAGCGACAAAACAGCTAGCTTAGACAACTAGTAGCACCTTCCATACTGCCTTCCTGGCAAAATCAGCGCATCGGGGCGTTCGCGGATAAACTAGCTACCTGCGATTAGCTTCTGATGCTACCTTGGAAGCCAGAAAATTCACAGGATGACTTCAACCTCCAATTCGACATTGGTACCGTACTCACAGGACAACGAGCCAGCGAAAAAAAAACCCAAAAAACAACCCGCTGAGATAATTGGCTCAGTGGTTAGCATCTTGGACTGCGACAATTGCTTTTAACGCAAAGAATGTGTGGGCAGTGAATCTGTTAAACCTAACACTCTGATTGTGTTTTATTTTCTGATGCCACCCAGAAGCTGGAAAATTGCCTTTAACTCTTATTGGTACTGTACTCACAGGACAACGAGCCAGCGAAAAAAAAAAACCCAAAAAAAGAACCCGCTGAGATAATTGGCTCAGTGGTTAGCAACTTGGACTGGGATAATTGCTTTTAACGTAAAGAATGTGTGGGCAGTGAATCTGTTAAACCTAACACTCTGATTGTGTTTTTTTTTTCCCTGTTGCCCTTTCTGATGCCACCCAGAAGCTGGAAAATTGCCTTTAACTCTTCCTTGATAGCTTGTAGTCCCTTTTACATTGCCTTAGCAATTAGCATTAGCTGCGTGACTAGCATCAAGCATCATCAGCAATAATTGCTTTCAATACAAAAGGAGCGTAGGAAATGAGTCTCGGGTGTTAAAGTTAACATACTTCACTTGTCCATTTCAACCTTACGCACGGGTCAGTGAACTGGGAAACAAAAAACAAAAACAAAAAAAAGCTCGTTTGGCTAGCCACCTTTAAACTCTTTTCAACCTTACGCACGGGTCAGTGAGCTGTGAAACAAAAAACAAAAAAAAAGCTCGTTTGGCTAGCCACCTTTAAACTCCCTCCCTCCAATGGCAAATGTTAAAAAGTGTGCAGGATGGCTTCATACGTCCTCCATCCCATGTCGACACCACAACCTCACTGAAGCAGGACCGAGTTTTCACATTGCACAATCACGCAGCTGTCGCAGCAAAAGTGAATGTGTGATCTCTTGCCTCGTTTCTTTATCGTCACACCTCAAATTATATCGGATGGAAAAATAAGAAGAAACCAATCCACTTTTAACACGCTCTTTTTCCCACCACCGGAGTCTCTTTGACAGTGCGTTCCATACCCCTCAGCTCTGGACCCAGCTCTGCGGCGACGTCTGCTTGAAGCCCCTCGGGTTCACGTTGGCGTTGTGGGCGGCGTCGAAACTGAGGTCCAGGCAGTCAGCCTCCATCAGTTCATTGCGGATGATAGAGTCCATGTCACACTCCAGTGCGCCGTTGAACACCTCGAGGTCCAGGTCAGCGGCGGCGGAGGGGAAACGGTCCTGGCTCTCGTCTGACTTGATTCCATGACAAGAGCTTTTGCCGGGAGACTTGGGGCCATTTCCGCCGGAAGAAATTTGTGCCTGAACGGCGGCGTGGTTGGCGGAAGGGACGTTGTCTTTGCGCAGAAGCAGCGTGTTGCGGCGCGAGTTCTGCAGGGCCACGGCGGTGCTGGCCTGCGACATGAGCGGGTCGGACTGGGTGAGCAGGACGTTGCCAGAGTCCAGGCTGAGGAGATCCTGCAGGGTCAGGTGCGCCGCGCAGGAGAAAGTGGTCTGCTTGTTCTCCTGGATGGTCTGCATGGGCGACTGGCGCAGGCTGGTGATGGACGTGGGGCTGAAAAGCGGGGTGGAGACGTAGCTGCCGACGGGGCTGCCAAACGCGAAGACGGCGCCGCCCTGGCCTTTGTCGTCATCGTCCTCGTTGGAGGGAGGTTGCTGGGACGCCGTCAGGCTGATGTTATCCAGCAGGTCGTCCATCAGGTTGTCGGACAGCCCGTCGTTGAGGTTCATGGTGCCCGCCAGGTCGGAGAGTCCGGCGGGGCCCGCCGACGGCGACATGCTGCTGGGGCTTGAGTACAGCATGGGGGACAACGGCGAGTCGTCCACAGGCACCTCGTCCAGCTCCAGGTTGGCCAGGATGGGCGACAGGCGCCCGCTCAGCGTGCTGGCGTTGGAGTTGGTGCGCGAGCGGAAGTCGGTCCAGGCGTCCAGCTCGTCGCTGCTGCGCGACGTGGGGCTGCCCGTCCACTTGGAGAGGCTGGACGAGCTCTCGGAGCTGCCGTCCTGGGCGGCCTGCAGCGAGGCTTTCTTCTTGGTGGCGCGGCCTCGGGCGCCTTTGATGTATTTGCTGTTGTCCATCGAGACGGCGCGGCGACGCGGCGCTTTGCCGCCTTTGCCGCCGTCCGGGTTGACCATCCACCACGAGCTCTTCCCGGTCCCTTCGTTCTGGACCTTCACGAAGCGACTATGCAGGGACAGGTTGTGCCGGATGGAATTCTGTGGAGGCAAGGAACGTTTCTTTGTATGGCACCATTTAAATTGACGAAGCAAAGACATAGCTTTGTCATCAGGAATTTTTGTTTCTAAAAGTCGCTTTTTTGAGTAGTCCCGAAATATAGCGACCGATTGGCAAAACTATTTTTGTCAATTATTTCTTCTCTGTCCACAGCCACGCTGTTTGTGTAAGCAGTGCGTGCCAGCAAGGAGAGGCTTTGAGAATTATGGAATCTGCTTTAAAAAAAAAAAATAATAATAATGATAATAATAAGACGGCATGGTCATTCCTCAAGAAAAATTCCCAGGAATCAACCCGCGTTCCACGTGCAAACTACAGGATTACAAACCTATTTCCTGACACACACACACACACACTTAAATCCTTCAAAGCTCTCATTTGACTTGATTCCATGACAGATGAATTGGTTGTCTGGGCTGGACTGTAATCCTTCACATCAAACGAGAAGCGAGACACTGTCTGTACCGTGATAACATTGGGCATGTTATTTAATTGACTTCAATATGTTTACAATACAAACATAACCGATAACATAAATAGTCCCACACACTAAATTTGAATTTATTTGTACTCATTTTTTAATTGTTCTCTATTTTGCCAAAGTGGCGTTTATTGTGAAGTCAAGCAAGCCGAGTCGAGATCAGAGCTCATAGCTCAAGTTAAGTGCTAGCAAGTCAAAGCAAATAAACTACCACTGTATAATTCATATCGTAAATGTTTAACTTTTTTAAAACTGAAAAAAACAATTTAAACATCTGATAGTTTTTTCATGAATTGTAAAATGTGGAAAAAGTTAAGCAGTGTCCACATTACGATTTTTAATTTTCGATAAATTGCCCCTGCCTAAAAAACAAACAAACATTGCGAAACCTTTTTTGTCTCCATGTTGTCAGCCTTGGGTATTGTATGTCAAATTTTGATGCCAAAAAAAAAGTATGCCACCAGTTTTGGAACAAGGCTGTGACATACACCATACAAAAGCGAAGCACTGTAAAGCCCTTCCAAATGCACTGCACAGCTAGTATCCGATTTGTTAAATCATTTGCAAACATAAAAAAAACGGCAATTAATCATTGGCAGGTGTGCGCAGGAACGATGTCCGGCGCTCCCTCACCTTCCATCCGGCCGAGCTGTTGGTGTCTCCCTTGTCCTTGAAGTAGGGCACGGAGCGGACCATCCACTCGTAGATCTGCGACAAGGTGAGTCTCTTCTCGGGGGACGACTCGATGGCCTGCGTGATGAGGTCCGCGTACGAATAGTTCCCCCAGGCGTTCCGGCGAGCCGACGACTTGCGCAGCTGCTGCGAGGCTGTGGCGGCCGCCGCCGGCGCCAGATGAGCCGAGGACAGCGAGCCATCCGCGGAGTCTTCGGTGCGGCGCTGCGTGGGGAGGTGGAGGCCGGAGGAAGTGAGTGGGCTCGGCGTGACAGCCCCGGTGGCCTCCCGGGGCACACCGCCACCTCCACCTCCTCCCTCCTCGTCGTCATCCTCTTCCTCCGGAATGACATCAGCGTCGTTCGCCCCCGCTTTGCCCGCCGCGCCGAGCTCCGGACGGGGCAGCGGCCAAGTGCAAGAGCGCGGTCGCTTCTGGGGCTCAAAGTCCGGGTCGATTTCCACGTTCGGCTCGCTGGCTTCGGCCATCTCACGGTGGGCGATGATTGGGTCGGGAAGTCACTCGGGTCGCATTCCATCAATGTGTGCGGTGGTGGAGGAGGAGGGGGGTGCTGTCTATTTACTGGAATGCATGCTAAGCGGGCATCGCGATGGCTTTTCCTCGTGAACCCGGGAGAGGAAAGCGGGGGGGGATTTCGGCTCTGCGTTCCTTCGTGAGCACCCAGAAGCATTTAACACGTCACTACGCTGCCATCTTGACCGTTTCCTCCCGCGACTTTCTTGGGCATCTTCATCGTTGCACCTCCTCCTTCTTCCTGCAGAAATGCTCCGCGCTCATCAGCACTTCACCTCCACGGTGATAATTTGCACACGCAAAACGTTCATTCAACCAAACAATCCTGCTGCTGCACCTCCTCTTCTTCCTCGACCTCCTCCTCTTCCTCCTCTGCGCTGCTCCAAATTAAAGCGACAGTATGGAGCAGTGACGTCACCGCCTGCCCCCCCCATGGGGATGCCCAGCAGGTTCCACATCATGCAAAAAATGTTGGAAAAGTCAGCTGTCCCTTTTATAAAGGGCAATTTTTTTTGCACCAAGTAGCCCCTAAAAATGTGTATATTTGTGATTGCAAGTCAATATAACATTACTTAGTTTGAACACAAACTCTGCACTTAATATAAACGGTATTAAAACAATTAAATTAAAATGTATCGAACACAGGTTTATAAAATGTACCTAACTGAAAGTTTAGACACAAACCGTTGATTATATGCAAATAATTATACAAAAAAAATGTAAATGCAAGCGAATTTAAGCAGTGAATTTTTTCACATACCAGTAGAGGGAGCCAACATACTACGACTGGCGCGAGTACCACTTTGAGAATCACTGTGGTAAGTAAAATAAAAATGTAGGTTTTTTTTCTCTTTAATGAACTTGGATTTCAAGCAAATTAAAGGTCAGTTCTTCCCGAGACCTTTAGAACCACATTAGAAAGCATAAGTGTCATGAAAATGTGATGAGACGGGAGACAGCAATTTAATCGAGAAATACAATTCAGAATGCGTCGTCTGCGGTTTGAATCTGATACACATCTATAATTTTCATGCATGGAAAATGCAGTTTTAAGATTGTCCCCGCGTTGTAACGTTTTATGTATGACCACCACATTAGTACGAATCACACCCGCGCAGCACGGCCAACAAGCTATTCTGAAAGCAAGCAACCTAAACCTAGGCGCTAATTATCACACAGTCAAATTCTGAAAACTAGCCATTAGCATCTTCTATTAGTTTTTCCATTTGTGTTTCTTGCACTTAAGACACATTTTAGGTGTTTTGTTAGATGAAATATTCGTAATAATGGTAATACTCTATACTTATGAATACAAAACATGTACGATAAGATTGCATACATTTAATGAGGACTTTTTGAGTCATTACAAAAACTTTTTTGCATTTATTGATGAATGTCACATCAAAACTTTAAATCGTTCCCCACGACTTTTTACAGAGTTGGACCACAGCGATTGCAGCATCCTGTTAAAAACATGCCTTAAGGTGCAGAAAGATGACAATAAATAATTTCTGTACAACATCTTTAAGTTTGTTCCCACAATGATCAGGTGGAGTGAGTAGTGTTTCTTTCCCGCTTCCATTTAAAAACTTTAAAGGAGTATTTGGGCCACACTGTCTAAAAGGGGGAAAAAAATGTTGCATATTTTCAAGAGTAAAGTCATAATCTCATGAGAATAAAGTTGTACACTTGAAAGATTTAAATAAAAGAGCAAAACATTCATGAATTCGCAGGATTAAAGTAATAGAATAAAATGGAGTATTGGTGATTAAAGTTGTAACATATAATTAAAAAAAAAAACTTGTCTGGTATAAACAAAAGTAGCCCCCGCCCCCCCAAAAAAATAATGGCAAAATGTGGAGGTAGGTAAAAATTAGGCTTTGGACTTGGCACTGCGGTCTCCCTCCAGCCAGTATTCTTCACTCTGCATCTCAGTGAGTCTGGAGACGGTCCTTTGGAAGGCGAACATCTCTTCTTCGCCACTGAAGATGGACAGGCTGCTAGCCTCTTCCTGTCGAGACACAAAGTCAAAAGGTTTCACCAAAAACACCGGTTTCTGACCAAAAACGCAGAGGGGAAAAAAAAAGCTTTTTTGTGATAAGAACCATGCAAGACAGTGATTCTACTTTGATCTGAGTAATGTACGGCCACATCATGTGAAAGTGGAGATAAAAATGAAGCATCTCCTACTCTTTTAAGTCCCAGGTCGTCCATGAGGATGTGGCTCTCGT